GGTGTAGAGTGGTACTATCACTTCTCTTGATCTTGATACTATCCCTCTTTTGATGCAGCCCAGGACTGCACTGGCTAAAACGGCAGCTGTAGCATACTGCTGACTCTTACTTAAGCAGTGGTCCACCAGGACACCTAGATCCTTCTCATAGGCACTATTGTTGAGCCAGGGACTGCCTAACCTGTACCTGTGCATCTGGTTTTTCCTGCCTAAGTGCAGGTCCTTACTTTTCTCTCCATTGAACTGCATCTTGTTGGATAGGGCCCAATGGTCACAATCTTCTGAAGTGTTAGCAATTCTCCCCAGCGTTGTGTCATCCACAAATTTGGTGAGCACCCCTTCAGTCCCCTCATCTAAGTCATTTATGAAGATGTTGAAGAGCACTGGGCCCAAGACAAAACCTTGAGGTACCCCACTGCATACTTCCCTCAACATAGATATAGTTCTGGAATGAGGTTCCCTTGGAGATCCAGGTAGCTCCCATCCTACTGACATTTTGCAAGACCTTAAAACCTGACTCTTTGCCCAGGCTTTTGGCTAGGGTTGTTGAAGCCCCTTCTGAATAGTATGTGTATGTTTTCATTGTTGCCCAGTTTTTGCATTTTTTGGCTCCTTTGCTCTTATTATTAAATATTGTTTGTGTTTTTTATTTTGTGAATCATCCAGAGTTGCTGGGAGTTGGACAGCATATACATTAAATAAATAAATAAATAAATAAATAAATAAATAAATAATGCACTTGACATGATTATGGAATTAATTCATTCATTTTTTAGACATGCACAGTACACTGAATCATAAACCAAATAACTGTGCTTGGCTCACACTATACACTAGGCCACAAAAAAGTAACCATCCTGTGTAAAATCAGTGCTAGGTCTTTAACTGGCCAGGTCTCTGGTCAGGTATCAACCAGTAAGATAGACTGGGCTGGAAGAGAGTGACTAGCTCAAAGTTGAATTCTGTGTGGTTGAGTGGGACCTTAAACCTGAGTTCCCCCAACTTAGTCCAAACCCAGCACCTTTGGTGTTTAGGTTAAATATAAACTTCTGATGGCTACTCACAAAAGTCTAAATAGCCCAGACTACCTTTTGTATATGATCTTCACTTACTAAAGTCAATCCCTTCTGCTGCTATCATTTGCT